GTTAAATTTACGTATTTCATAATTACATGTAACATTTACTTGTTGTGATTCATAATGTCTTGAAACTCATGTCCCAAATAAGATCACTAATAATTAATAATTACAATCCTCATTTGAAATAATTACGATTATTTTAAACCCCGAATAGTCGTTTTAACATGTTCTATATATTTTTAATTATTTTATAAAAATGATTAAATTTTACATTATCATATTATTCTTTTATATTCTCTATACATTCAATAATATATTTTTTAAGCTTTTTATTGTACATGTAAGTTTAAAACTATGACGTCTTATAACTAACGACACACATAACGATAGAATTTTAATTTTAAATTAAAAATATTTATCCCTGAGTAAAATGTATATAATGTGCAATTAAAATTCAAAAGAACTGAATAAAAACTTTTAAATGTTAAAAATATGAGACGATTTTAGCAATTTAAGTTATGTTGATATATTTTGTTGAGTATATTGTACAATTTTTTACCTATTTTTGTTTCCTTAGTTTTATTTAATTTTACTATTATTATATTGTATAAATCGCAATTTTTGGCCAAACTTTTATCATTTTGTATTATGATTATTAAAAATGTAATCTTTTAAACAAAATAGTTCTTTAACAAAGCGACGTCATTTGTTTTACTTCAGAAAAACGAGTAACTCTCTTAATGGCTTAACAGGATAAATTTAAAAAACATAAAAACTATATTAAATAGTGAAACGTTTCTACGGTAGTACTCTTTTAAGTTTGTTTTTTACTAACTTAAATTTATCAATAATACGAATACACAACGCAAATTGTGTCAAATAATTAATTTATTTTGTTTTATTTTAAAAAAGATGAATATATACTAAACAGCTACCTATCATATCAGTCTTACTTTAGGAACTACTTAATTTAAGGTGAAGGTAGAAGTATAACCCTTTGTATCACGGTTGGTAAAACAGAGGTTATAATCACCGTTGAAGATTAACTGAATTACGTAAGCGGAGGAATCTAACCCTTTGGATCACGGTTGGTAAAGCGTTGTTACGAGCACCATTGCAAAGGGTTAAAAGGAATATTTAAGAAAAGCTAGTAATCTTGATCACGGTTGATAACGCCTGATCATCTTTGAAGATTAAACTAACTTTTTAAGTGAAGAATTTTAATATATAAATTTTGATCACGGTTGGTAACGCGTTGTTATAAACACCGTTGAAAATTCTATATATTTAATATTAAGATATAAGGAAAGAAATAAAGAAACTTACTTGGTGAAGCAGTGTATGCACGTTATATTTCTCTACAGCATATTCAACCGATGTGTATCCAATGTCCCCATTACTAATTTTTACTATTATTAATTGTATAATAATTTATCTTAAGTATTCGTTAATTATCTTCTTATTATAATTAAGTGTACTTAATAAAATTTTAGATAGAAATAATCAAATATTTTTAAAACCATTCGGTAGCCTATTAGAATAGTTTTTAAAACTATTTGAAACCCCCATGTTAGACTTAAATATTATTATAAAATATTATTAAATAATATAAAGATTTAAAAATTCCATCTGCTAGAATAACTTGCTTAAACTTGAAAATATTAGATTAAGATTTTATCGTAAAATTCATAAAAGGAAAAGACAATGTAGTTGATTATCTTTCTTGCAAAGGGATAATGACTATTATTGATGCTGTATTTTTTGATCATTGCATAATTGCATAATCCTACAATGAATTACTTAACATGACCCATAATATCGATATTAATAAATACAATGGCACGATAAAATCCATAAACTGGAGTGAAAATATTTCTAGAAATAATACAAATTACCAACACAATGATGAAAATCCAATTGAATATATATATATACAGAGTGATTTTTTTATCATAACCCACTCAATTACTTGCAGAATAATAATAATTTAAACATTTTTTTTTCATTATCTTTTGTTACACATTATTCTTGAATTTTTAACTATGTAATACTTTTTAAGTTCATCCCTTATGCCTTGGAAGGGGGTCAACTTTGTTTTTTTAAATGGTAACACATATTTTGAATTTAATAAAATGTTTGAGTTTTTAATTTAATAGTAAATGGCATTTGAATTTTTAATATAACTTTATTAGCTTATTAGACATAAACATTTAATGTTTCAAAATGTTGAGTTAATATACATGTATAATACACATGGGATTACAAATATAGGTAGCTAATTGGTTTTTTATAACATCGATATTAGCATCACGGATTGTTTATTATCAATTATGATTATCAATAGATATACTTTCTGTATTGTCAGTTAGTGTATTTATA